TCTCTGTGCCGGGAGTGTCGGATTACACCCCCGGCGCAGAGACTGGGGGCCCGCTGGCTGCTGGATCCCGATCCGGTGGCCGGCAAGTCCCACAATCTATGCACAGGGACTGTGCTGGGCCCGCCCAGGCTGAGGCACCGGCTGCAGTTCCGCCACTGTATACACACACTCTTTATACATTGCACCCATCTCTACATATACCTTACCCCCCTCCCATATATATAAACTCCCCATCTCGCTATGCCCCCATCTCTGCGCCGGGAGTGTCGGATGAACGGATGATCCGACACTCTCGGCGCAGAGATGGTGGGCCAGCTGGATACTGATCCGGTGCTGGGACTGTGCTGGGCCCCCCCAGGCCGAGGCCCTGGTGTGCCTGCACCGGCGGTAGTTCCGCCACTGTTTGTAGGATTCTCCTCACAGTGATAGGTTCCCATCTGGTGTCAGGATGATAGAAACTATAGTTTTCTGACTGTGTTTTACAGCACGTGTAGTGCATTTTCTACAGATATATTTGTAAGTACTGAATGTGGTGACCCAACTATCTAAATTAGTTGAGATGGGGAGGATTATGGAAGACGGCCTTCATGAAATAGTTATACCTCTGCTTCTCTACTGTAGCACCACCAATGGCAGCAAAATAATTGCTCTATATTTTTCCCTTTAGAAATACACTAACTAGAAAAACATTTTAAAAGTTTCAACTAATTTTGCTTTGCAGAAGTCTTACAATTAAAGAGAATCATATATGCAATTACAGATAGTTCGTTTGTTGAGATATTAGGCTACTCCTACTGGGGAAGTGATATGTATTTAAATATATGGCTCTGATAACATGGAAAGTGATTAAATGGGGTACAATGCATCTCATCATTGTATTGCCTTCTTAAATAGACCTGCATGTGCTTCTTCTATCTTATACTGAGCATTTTCATAGGACTAAAATAGGTGTGTGAAGCCAGTATACAAGAAAACTTTCCAACTGCATACTGTACAGAAATGTAAGAATCCTGTTATTTTGTATTAATAAAGAAAATTACTTTAAAAACTCTGTTGATTTTATGATCATATATATACTGTATGTATGTGTATACACACACACACACACACATTATGAAGATAAATAACCATTATGCGTGGAAAGCTCCATTTCTAGATAAAGTGATGTTGGCATCTAATCATCTGCAAGACAAAGAGAACTGCATTTGGAATGTGAACTTTACAACGTGGCAACAGCAGCTAAGGAAGTTTGAAAAACAGCACCATTTTAAGGTAACCCTATAAATTAGGTAGCTAGGTATTTTATTTAAAGTTCTAAGGAAATATTGCAAATGAATATAACAGCACCCAAAGATTGTGTGAATCACAAGTAGGTATATACCTTACAACAACCTTGTGGTCTGACACTTAGACGTTGCTTTCCTTCCCAATTCTACGGGAATTAATGTTGACAGTTCTGTGAATACACAATGAACACAGAATACATAGCTTACCTGGAACATTTAGCTCTTGTTACATGCCAATGATCTGGGCTGTAGCTACCATGGGGCGAGTGAGGCACTTGCCTCAGGCGCAGCAGAGAGAGGGCACAGCCAGGGCTGTACTATATCTGCCACTTAGCATTGCAACCATTATACCGATGAAGCCATACATAGCAGTCATGCATTACTTTTTCTCCTGTGTCTGCATTAACATGGCTAAAAAAAGAAGGCAAGGTAAGAACTATGTCTACTAGACAACTTGACAATGCCACCCGTATGGCATATCAAATCAGTGTTCAATATACCATCAAATAGTTTAGGAATCTGTACTGCATGAGACTCAGACTGCTCTAAGGGTTGACTTGTTAAAGGTTCCGTTTTTACATAGTTTTTTTTATAAGTAGTTTAAAAAATGTTTTACTGCAAGAAAACAGCAGATTTTTGAAGACCAAATCTGAACTCCAGGCAAGCATATAATAAACAGTTGAAATACACATATAGAAAATATACCTGCCAAATAATTGTCATTGTTGTTCATCCATTACTGACCTTTTCACAGGGATCACACAGGTATGTGCATCGGTGGCCGGGAGAGGTGACGGGGTGCTGTCGTTAAGTTAATTTTCTCACAATTTGTGAGAAAGTGACCTTACCCTTTACTTGTATCCTGAAAATATACCCTATGTCTCTAATTTTTCCTGAAAAATAGCAGTACAGTTCTGTGCCTTAAGATCTGGTGATGTCACTGCTGAGTTGCTTTCTGGAGAGGAAGTTGTACCTGAGGATCTGCTATGCAAGCATCTCCCTGTTTCCGCTTCATTTATTCTGTGGATCTATGCTTTCTGAACCTCTTACTGCTTCTTGAATATTACCCCACCAGTCATCAGATCTCCAGTCATCAGGGGGTAGTTCTGCCATGATGAACCAAAGCCCCAATTCTACCAAGATGGCTACTTTCATGTAAACACACAACGAGGGGAAAGGCATGGCAAATCAGTAATAGGAAGAGGATCAGCTGGAAGGATTCTACAAACACTGGTAAAAAGTAGGGCTGCGGAAATAACGATTAATCCCTCGATTAATCGTGAATTTTTTTGATCAATCAAAATTATTTTGATCGACCAAAGTTCTTTTGATCCGTACTCACCTCTCCGCCGGCTTCCGGGTCTTCCGTCGGAGATCCGGTGACGCGACGTCACCAGACTCCTACCCCCTTCCCCAAGTGGCTGTCGGCTAACGAAGGGAAGGGGGAGGAGTCCGGTGATGTCGATGTCCGTGACGTCACTGGACTCCTCCCACTTCCCTTCTTTACACGATGGAGCTGCTTGGGCCGGTGAGTAGTGTACACATCCCATTCCTCTCAAAGCGCCGCTGCCTGCTGGACACCGCCGCAACCCGCCGTCCTCGTCCCCGCCGGCCGTCCTCGTCCCTGGCCCCGCCGCTACTATAGCCTCCGGTTCTCTTCCCTTGATGAATAAATTTATCAATGTGAGAGAACCACAGCAATTGCCGCTCTCAGTGAATCTGCCGCTCCAGGCAAACGCCTTGTTTGCCTCACGGCAGATACGCCCCTGGGTGCAATAGCTAGTTTGCTATAGGCTATTGCAAAGTGAAATAGCCAATAGGAATCGTTATAATGAATCGAAATTAATCGATTAAAATTTTTTCCGATTAATCGAACAGAAACATTTTAATCATTACCAGCACTAGTAAAAAGTAATTTGCCTTCCCCATTTTTGTGCACATCTTCTATGGTTTGGTTGCCCGTTAAAGTGTATTTATACTTTTGTAGCCAAATTAAGATAACACCTATTGCTGCTTACCTTTTTAAATGCTCTTTTCTGAAAGCTCCAGGACCGAAAAATTCTCCTTAGCTTTCTTTGCTATTTAAAGTTTATGAGGGAGAAGGGCAGTTGTCTTTACCATGATTAACCCTGTCTGTACTGTGCTGGCAAATTGTGTCAGTAGGAAGCTTGATATGCATGATTAGCCTTGTCATTCTGAGTTCACAATCGGCTCTGAATGTTGTGCATGTGATTCCAGAAGTTT